GGAATTATTTCGTTACTTTTTAGTGTACTGTTTTTTTGAGAATATTTTGTTTTTGGTGTATTTTGTTTTGTTTTGTTTTTCGTGTATTTTTTGTACCAGGAATAATAAAAATCGATTTTTGACTTTTTGTTTTTAATATTTTTTTTGTGGTTATTTTATAACAAGTAGAATCGTTTAAAAAAAGAAAAAAATACATGCATATTCCCTATTGTGATTTCTCTGTGTAAAACCAAGGATTTTTTTGACATGTTATAGTGGATATCCATGTAGGCGTCAGATGATCAGATTGTATTAAATGTTTCTAGTGGCCTTGATAAACTCGCGCACTATTATTATTGTAGCTGCTGCAATTACTGCTGCAGCTGTTGTACTTATGCTACTGCTGTCTTTTCGTCTCTGCTGTCGTTTACTTGTGCTTTCAGATGTGTAGGCGTTGAGTAAATACTTATCTGACTGATAAAACTTTAGAATGGTGAAAGAATTTTTGAAATCGGCCCCGTAGTTTCTGAGTTATTTCAATTCGTACAAAAATGCCAAAACTCAAATCTTTTCTCTATATGAAATAAATAAAATTGGCGTAATTTAAACACTATTTTATTAAGATCGTTAAATGGGAATAAATAAAATTAACAATATTTTCATAACAGACCCGTTTTATTAAGAAAAAACACATATTAACACTGTTCAATCGCATAACAATGTACAATCAGCCGCAGAAATATATCAACATTTACAGGGCCTGTCCCACCACTAGCTGATAGCGTCACAGATAGCTTGAATGACGTCACTATCAGATAAAGTTATTAATCCGATATTTCCATCACATATTACATTGGATTGTTATCAGACAATTTACAATTTGGTGGGACAGGCCCTAAAACTTGAATACACTTTCGATGACAAAATAAATGTGATATTGTAACAAAGTCTATAGAAGTTTACAAAGTTCTGTAAATGTATACAAGGAAAAATACCCAGGTAAAATTCGTCTATTAATCACGTGATATTTTTAGAAACCATCTTAATTTTTATATATTTATAAATTATAATTTTAATATGTAATATATATATACCTTTTAGGGAGTTATCTTAACAAATGCAATTCTCTCTCTCTCTCTCTCTCTCTCTCTCTCTCTCTCTCTCTCTCTGATGACATCTCTTTTATATAAAGGGGGAGGCTTTGTAATACTTTCTAATGTTTTATTCCTTTCTCACGCGATTAATGGACGATCCTTTATTTTTAGACAAAATCATTGAATGGTATAGTCGTATTTTTTTTACTGAAATAAAAAAAAACCTATTTCACATATTTCATTGAAAAGCTTATTTCACTTACATATAGCGTATTATAATAGTAAATATTTACAAAATGACATGAAAAAGTTACAAATACATTATTAACATGGAATGACTAAAGTACAGTGCGACAAGGTTTTCCGGCCCGGTAAGGTATCCTAAAAACATAAAACCTGCAAGCACAGTAAAAAACAGCTGTATATCTTTTTGGTTACTTAGTAGCTAGTAGGCATAACTTAACTGGAACCGGGTCAAATAACCTTGGACAAAACTACAAGATACGTGACGAAAATTAAACTGCCAAATAACAATTACCAAATTTAATAGAACGTCGATTCAAGTTAAAAAACACGCATCAGACATATCTGTCTCTTTTTTAACTAGAAATATGAAAGAGACGACATGAAAATCTTTAATAAAGTACAGTTAGATTCTTACGTTAAACATATACAACCTAAATGAACGCGGTTACATTTAAACGTAGATTTAAACTGAGTTTAAGGAAAATTTGTACTAATATTTGCTTATAGTCAGTTTATTCCAAGTTTAACTTTACCGCGTTTAGTAAGGCTGATAAAGTATAATCGGATTCAATAGATACGAAAAATTATAAAATACAAGCTTTTGCCCGTGACTCCGATAGCGTGGATTAAAAAAACTAAGTAGCCTATGCGTTTTTCCAGACTATTCTTTACATCCAAATTTCATCGAAATCCGTTTAGCAGTTTACGCTAAAAACTCAAGAAACATCTAAACTTTCGCATTTATAATATCAGTAAGATATTAACAATTTTATTACAATAACGCTGTTATATTTTTCCCGTGGTTTTCTACAGATGTGTTAAATTTAATTCAGATCCATTCAGCCTTTAAGACTACTAACATCCATCCATCCAAAATTTTTCATTAAAATATTAGTTACTTTGAAAAACAACTATGTATCTTTCACTTACATCTAGTTTCATATACAGAACCTCGATAAGTTAAAGTCCAAGGGAAACACAAAATAATTTAAGTTATAGAGGTTTTAAGTTATCAAGGGTCTATGTTATAGAGGTTTTGGGCTCTGATGGGAAGGGAACATATTATTTTTTGAAGTTATCGAGGTTCTACTGTAGTTACGTTTAAACAAAAGTCTTTAAAAAAATAATCAATAGACAACAAAAAACAATGTATGTAAATGAAATCTTACTAATATTATAAATGCGCAAGTTTAGATGGATGTTTGTTAGAGTTTACAGCCTAAAATACTAATTGGATATCGTTGTAATTTAGCTTAGAGAGGATAGTCTGCACACAGACTACTTTTTTTTATTCCACACGGAGTCACGGGCAAAAGCATGTATATAATTCCTCATTTCCATTAAATTCCTTTATATCTAAATGACAATTTCATAGCATTAATAATTATTATGAAACTTATATAGTTAGCATATTTCCGTATGTTTGTTAATGAGTTTTTCTGTTATGTTGGTATTAAAGTTTAAATAGAGAACAGATTCAACTAAAACTAAAAATAATTATTAAAAACTTATTAATTAAAAAACAATCGGTGGTAGATCTCGTATCTCAGAAGATTGGTATGAAAACTGTTTAATAAAATAAAAAAAATATTAACAATGTCTAGTCTTGGGTTCGAATCCCGAAAACTCCAAATTGCTAATAAATGCAGAATTTAAAGAAATCTAATATTAAATATAGCCTATATCTCTTGAGGATAGTCTAGCTTTTAGACAGTGAAAGAATTTTTCAAATCGGTTCAGTAGTTTTTGAGTTTATGGAATACAAACAATCGATTTTTTCCTCTTTATTATATTAGTATAGGAAACAGTTATTTTTCGAGGACAAGCTTAACGGTAAGATATAGAAGCTCATTTAAATCTATTGAAATGTACAGAGAAAATTACAAAACAGCTATAGTACAAAGATTTTGTGATTTTTGACAATAAAAGCGACGGTAAGATGTCTTTAGTTTGAATGACCGGGTCAAATAAGTTTGCCAGACTATAGACGAATTAAATGATTTTCTGCGATTATTTGACAAATGATATTATTTTTACTTGCACTGATATATTTAGATATCGAATATCGACTACAATTTATATATACTAATATTATAAAGAGGAAAAATTTGTATTTTTGTATGTATTGAAATAATTCAAAAAGTACTGGGCCGATTTAAAAAAATATTTCACCGTTAGAAAGGTAATTTATATGTGAGGAAGTCGCGAGCAACAGCTAGTTTGAACTAGGTGTTTTAATTTTTTTTTAGAATTTCAATTACCACGTCTTTTATATGCGTTTCATGCTAATATTTTATACCTTATAACACTCTGGAGAAGAAAACTAATCGAATGACACCTAATTTGTCAAAATGCGTTAACTAGTTTAGGCTGTAAGCAGTTACAATAAAATTAACAAATACAAAACCACATAAAAATAATCTTAAACGCAAAAAACTATTAAATCTGTTCTTTATTCAAACTTATATCGTCATTTAAATAGAAAAAATTACATTTTTCAAAAATTTTTCAAAAAATCTGATTATTACTAAAAAACAATCAATATTTTTAGCTTAAATAATAAGCGTGAAGCTTCACGTTTAATTTCTTAAAATGTTTATCCAAATAAAAATGTTAACAGTATTTAGGAAAAATTTGAAAAAATGCCATTTTTTCCATTTTTACCGACGATATTTTGATTTAAATATATGTGTATGAATGTGTAGAAATACATAAGCGTTGTGCAAGCTTATATACATATATACATAGTACAGTAAATCACAGATCTAAAAATTTAATGAAAATTATTTTTGCAAACGTCTAATAATTCGATAAGCGTCGACAGATTCGCTGTAGCGTCTTGCAATAGATCTCTGGAAAGAACGATATTATTTAATACAAAAAAAATAAAAAAAAACCATATAACAACTGACATCACCAAAGACATTCAAATATATAGAGAAGGCAGGCAACACTTCACTTGAAGCATTTTTAATATCAATCGTCAATATAATAAATTTCAAATAGCTATCATTAAACATAAAAAAAATTATATTTTATATTACGACGCTACTTTATTTTTATAACAAAAGATTATAATTTTGTTAAATACTATATTACATGTTACCATTCAGGGAAAGTACCGGTGAAAAATTTTGTACTCTGCCTCCTCTATAAATTATTTAAATGCTTTTATGTAACATAGTTTTCCTTAACATGCATTAAAAAAAAAACAAAAAAAATCGTACTTTCAAACACTAGTAGACAAACAAATTTCAACTCTCTGTATATAAAAATAAAGTTTATTTTGCATACCTGTTCTTGGTACAAAAGATGTTCAATTCGTCCCGCGAGATGACGCCGCTCTCACCCCCGTTCAGGTTCAAACTGGATTTCAGTTCCGTCTCCAAATTAGTTATACGTCCCTCTAATAGTTCACTTGAATTATCCACATTCAGTACTCTGAAAGATACAATAATAATAATATAAAGATATTTTTTTATTTAAATACGTATTTGTTACGTCACTACGATATCTGTCTATTAAGTACGGCATTTGCCTTCATATAAATTTAATTCGATACTTTATATGCGTCATTTAACAAACTAGTAAATCCTATTTGGACAAACTATAATCTATACTATTATAATAAAGCGTAAACACACACTTCTTTGTTGCCTAAGATGTCAGCAATTACAGCATATTTTTGAATAATTCTTTTTTTAATAAAAACGCCTATACTTATATCAAGCTTTAGGCTATATTTTCACGCCATTGAACTTAGGGGGTAAATATTTTGGATAAAAACCCTAATGTGGGAAAGAGACCATAAGTTGCTGCCAACATCAAGGAAATAAGATTGCCATGGATTGTCATCATGTCACGTCATTCTGACATTTGCAATTGATAATTTGACACATGTAAACGGTAAAATAAAAATTTTATTTTTCTGCGGATGAAGCCGAATGGGAACAGCTAGTATAGTATAGAAATAGATAACATACCCTTGTATGGTGTGGTTGAACGATATGATGTGGTTGCGCAGCATGGAGTACTTGCTGAGCAGCGTCTCCACGGGCTCGTTGGCCGGCAGCCGGTCCTCGATGCTGTGGGGAATGCCCACGCAGCGGCACAACTTCGCACTGGAATTAAAAAAAAAAACTATATGTACAAGGAATTGAACTTTTTTATCTATCTATACTAATGTAAAAAGGAAAAAAATGCATTTTGAGTTTTTTTTCACGTAAAAACTACTTAGAAGGATTTCAAAAATTCTTTCGCCGTTAAAACGCTTAACAGTTTAGGCTACATTTTTTTATTTCACACGAGATATAAATTATTTGATACTTCTTTGATTGTTAAAGTTATGTTACAAATCTAAATATCAAGAAGTATTATTTCAATGTCTTTTTGTTATATTTTTATATTTTAAGCCACTTAAATTCATACAATTTTCAAAGCTGTTTTATTCTCGACTATTAATCTATTAACAAACGTGTACAGTCAGCTGCATAAATCTTACTAATATTATAAATGCGAAAGTTTAGATAGATGGATGGATGTTTGTTAGAGTTTGTAGCCTAAACGGCTGAACGGATCTCCATGAAATTTGGCACAGGTTTAGTTTTTTAATGTTTACTCGATCATTCTGCAACGGTACAACATATCTTATTGAAATTTGGCACAGATATAAAACAAAGTCTGTAGTACACTTGGGATAAGCTTCATCCCCGAGAAATGTCCGGTTCCCGGGATACGTAGCTTTTTGTAATTTATATAGTTCGTATGTTTTCTAATACCACGCGGACGAAGTCGCGGGCAACAGCTCGTATATTTATAATCTATAGCAATATTATAAAGAGGAAAGATTTGTATTTTTGTATATATTGAAATAACTCAAAAACTACTGGGGCAATTTTAAAAATTCTTTGACCTATTAAAACCTACGTTATTACTGAGTAACGTAGTCTATATTTTTATATTTCACGTGAACAATGTCACAAGCAATAACTTGTAAATAATATGAATTACATTAAAAAAAAAAAATCTTACCAATAACTAGAGAATATTATCCATACAGTTTCAAATGCCTGCATAACGGAGATATTATTCTGTCCGCGAGTCTGTCTCACGTTGTTAAGTCTGTCCACCGTGTTTTTAGCCAGCTCCATATATTCCGGTATAATTTGACACTTCTTTGCAACTTCTATACATAATTCCTTGAAGTTACACACTTCTGCTTCCACAAGCGTCTTCGGATCTGGAGAGAATTAAAAAATATACAGTATAACCTCGATAACTCAAACCTCGGTAACAAAAACCTCTATAATTTCAAAAAAATATGTTCCCTTCCCATCAGCCAAAACCTCTATAACATGGACCCTTGATAACTTAAAGCCTTTATAACTTAAAACATTTTGTGTTTCACTTGGACTTTAACTTATCGAGGTTCTACTGTAAATATTATGCATTTATAATTAAAATATGAAAGATAGATTGAAAAAAAAAAACAATTAACATATAAATTACAACAAAAGTGTCTATTATTATATCATTGAAGTAGTATTTTTAAAGTCAAAGCATATTATTTATAATATACATTTAAAAAAAACCTGATGAGCCTGTATTGTCATTTGAAATTTACTATTAGGGTTGTAACGGAACTACACTTCCGTATCCGCATGTGCGGAACTTCCGCAAGAAATGATAACTCCGCAGCCTCTTCCGCTTCGTTATTTCTTATGCGGAGTTATAACGGAGGTTTATTTACCTTTGTTTTTGATATGATTGTATGTTTTCTTCAGGTCGTTGAGCAGACCCTCGATCCTGGGGAAGACCTCGTGGAAGACAGCAATCCAGTGCTTGAGCAGCGCGAACAGCACGTCCTGCAGCTGCCAGGGCGGCGGCCGGCACACCACGTGCTCCCACAGCGCCTTGTAGCGCGCCCGCATCTCCGTCTGCACACACACACTTCGACAATAACACAACACAGATACTTCTAGAAGTACACAGAACATTACAGAAACTTCTACAATTACACACATCACAGACACTTCACAGAATAATTTACCAACTTTAAAAACTGCACAGGATGTTGCAGAAACTAGAACTACACAGATTATTTCAAGTCCTGTAGAAATTCACAGAAATATATAGAAATCTCTAGACCTTCAAAGATCAATACAGAAACTTCTAGAAATTCACAGAAAAATACAGAAACTTCTAAAACTTCACAAGACATTACAGAGAGTAGAGTAAAACTAAACAATCAGTGTTTAAATTCTTCAAGGTTTTCTCGTGTTATAGTAATTTTTTTTTTAATTTCACTGATTACTAACTGTTGCTCGAGACTTCGTTCACATGAATTGGAAAAACATATAGCTTACGTTACTCATTGATAATGTAGCTTTTTAATTTTGCAAGACCTTTTGAAACTGGCTCAGTAGTGTTTGAGTTATTTCAATTCGCAGAAAAAATACAAATCGTTCCTCTTTATAGTATTAGTATAGACTAGCTTTCGCCCGTGACTCCGTACGCGTGGAACTACAAAAAACAGAACTGAGTATCCTCTGTGTTCTTCCACATTATCCTCTACACCTATACCAAATTTCATCTAAATCCATTCAGCCGGCTACAAAAAACATCCATCCATCTAAACTTTCGCATTTATAATATTAGTATGGAGTATGATATAAGAATATAAGGTACTAGCTGTTCCCAAGCGGCTTCATCCGTATAAAATTATGATTTTTTTTTATTGTTTACATGTCAAATAAACAATTGCAAATGTCCAAATACCAATTACCTTACTATGGCAATTTTGTTTTCTTGATGTTGGCAGCAACTTATGGTCTCTTTTCCACATTAGGATTTTTATCCAAAATATTTACCACCTAAGTTTAATAGCGTGAAAATATATAGCCTAAAGCGTGACGTAAGTGTAGGGCTTTTTATTAAAAAAAGTATTATTCAAAACAATGCTGTAATTGCTGACATCTTAGGCAACAAAGAAGTGTGCGTTTACGCTTTATTATAATAGTATAGATAGAAATATCTGACCTCTAGTATATTGGCGAGCAGCTGGTAGATGGTGCGGTCGCAGTGGTGGAGGGCGGCGAGCGCGGCCAGCGCGAGGTGCGCGTGCGGCGCCGGCGACACGCGCGCGCTCAGCTCGGCCGCGCCGCACGTCGCCACGCCGTTCACCACCGCCTTGCTGCACAGGTTCTTGTCGTTCGACAGCAGCACCTGCTCGCAGTACACCAACACTGCACTAACACCCACTATAACGCGATCATTTCACTATAAAAATTTCAAATTTCCCGCTCAAATGCCTCGCATTACCCATAACATGTCGATACATGCACATGTATACATCTCAAACCATCACACCTACTGCAACACTGCCCCATGTTCTCTGTCAGGAGACATGATATATATATTTTTTTTATTTATTTACATACAGAAAAGAAATGAGGAGTTATGTAGGCTGCTGGATGTTTGTTACAACATTCCTGAATTAACAAAAAATGAATCACTAATCCAATCTTCAGAATATGCCTGCCACATTGTGGACCGAATAAAGCTATTAAATGGCACTGGCTCGGAACCACCCCCTCCCCTAACCTTCGTCTACTATAGATAATGATGACCGTGTCTTCACCATGTGTCAAACAATTAACAGTGTTGGGTGTTATGAACGTATTTTACAAGAACGTAAATAAACGCTACCCATAAGACAATAGATGTATTCTTCCATAAAAAAAAGTGTTCTTAGAAATAAGATGATAGATTAAAATGATTTGTATTTTTTTTTGTATTAAATATTGACAATGTTTAATCATGAAACTCGATACGCGAATTTCAGTTGACGCGATTTTTTTCGGAACGTATCCCTAAAAAAAGCGGGGTATTACTGTATAGCCTACTCTCCCTCCATTGTAAATTGCAATCAAGTGGCATGAATTAGGAAACCCTTAAATATTCTATAAAAAGTCCACCTCAATTTACAAATATTAAGCAAGAAATGCTGTTGTTCAATATCGGAGTACAAAAAACACTTCAGAGTAAAAAATGCATAAAAACACATATATGTTTCACTCTGAAGAGAATTTAAAAAAAAATTCTAAATCATAAACATTAATAATTACCACAGATTTGCCTCTCTCCGCTTGCTGCAGACAGCAGTTCAGAATCTCATCATCTGGCACTTCACAAGGAAATATGTGAGAATTTGAATCACGAAGCGATTGTCCTGGAATTTCAGACTGGGTTAATCAAAAATTACTGGTAGTAAGACAAAACTGAATAAAAAAAAACAATAAAAAAATAAAAAGGCCTTACCTTTCAGTCTATTGGCAACGGGAAGTGATTTATACAAAAAATCCATAGCAGCTTTAGCTCGCTTGCACAATACTCCATTGCCGTTGTTGTTGTCTTTTAATTTGTCCAGTTCATTGATCACACGCCATGGCACCAACAGGGTTGGCTGCTCTGTATAACCTGCGGGGAATCATTATCAGCTTAGTACATTACTAAATGCTCGGAGCCTACCCTAAGTTACTTGATGACATCTATACTAATATAATAAAACGTAAATACACTCTGCTTTGTTGCCTAATGTCAGCAATCACAGCATATTTTCGAATAACTCTTTTTTAATTAAAAGCCCTACTCTTACGTCATGCTATAGGCTATATATTTTCACGCCGTTAAACTTAGAGGTAAATTTGGTTAAAAACCCTAATGTGGGAAAGAGACCATAAGTTGTTGCGAACTTATGGTCTCTTGGAAGCAAGGTTGCCATGGTTTAAAATTTGCAATTGATAACTTCACAAATGTGAACAATAAAATCATTTTTTTATAATTTCATGTGGATGTAGTCACATGGGAACAGCTAATAGTCAATAAGGGCCCAATGTAAGTTGGCTTTACAGATCTTTAAATTTTCTTTACAGATGTGTGTAAAATTTGCTTCACCGTAATATTAGATAAATGTACATAAGATTGAACAATCTAAAAACATTAGTAGAGCAGAACCTCGATAAGTTAAAGTCCAAGGGAAACACAAAATATTGTAAATTATGGAGGTTTTAAGTTATCAAGGGTCTATGTTAAAGATTATACAACTAAAAGTATACATATCTTTTTTTTTATAACATAAGGTGGCAAACGAGCAAGCGGCCACCTGAATCCACAGAAGTGGAAAGCAACCGCTGCCCATAAACATCCGCAATTGCAGATGCGTTGCCTACGCTTCATCGACGGTAGAGGAGACGCACATAAAGAGGATTTTTCCTCTTCCTATGCATCTCCTCCTCCGTCAAATCCAATTCCCCTTCCCATCCTCTCCTTATAAGAACACCGGCACCACACTTATCAGACTGTACACAGAATTGCTTCCATTTCACGCCTATCTTCTGTGTGGTCGTGGTATTACTGTGGACGTGCCGGCCCTGCAGTGCTAAGATGTTAAAGCAGGCTCTACCACTGTCAAATCAATCATCAGGTCATGTCAATCTTACCTTTTATATTTGAGTTGAGTACTTGTGTGATGCAATGCAGATCATGTATGAAGATGTTTGTATCAACAACTATTACAGCGTTTGTTTGTATTGTATTCAACATGTTGGGAGCTGCACTGAAAGTGCTGCTGCTAGGCTTGTGTGCGTCCACCTGAAAGATTCATAATTACAAGTTATAAACACTAATTACAAATTTCATTACTTAAAAAAATAAATAACACAGTGACTTAACATTTGACACTAAGGGGAAGAAGATAGATCAAATCACACCTCACTCGTCAAAATTGGGTCAGTAATTTAGGCTGCATAGAGTTTTATAGGAGTTTTTATAAAAAAAACTATAAACATTTATACAAATGTACTTTACATGTAAAACATTACCCTCTTTATCAGTTGGGTAAAAAAGTTTTAAATTTTAATGAAATAGGCTATAATCAATGACCCACTAAATTTTTTTTATAATAAAAGGAGGCAAACAAGTGGCATGAACACAAAGGTGGTCAACGACACCCATGGGCATTTGCAACATCAGAGGAAATGTGAAAATATAGCAAGTAAATCAGTCTTAGCAATTATAATCTGTACCTGTACTAATATTATAAAGAGGTATGATTTGTATTTTTATATGTATTGATATAACTCAAAAACTACTGGGCAGATTTTAGTAATTCTTTCACCATTACAAAGGTAATTTATCTGTGAGTAACATAGGCTATGTTTTTAGTGTTATATTAATTTTACACAGGCGTTATCGCAAGCAACAACTAGTATGAAGTAAAATATAATTTTTCGTAAACATGTTACATATGATATGGTATATTGTAAAAAATTGCATACCCTTGAATAAACTAAAGTAACACCTTCATCAACATCCATCTGTTCAATATGTCTTCCAGTTCTAGTATCATCCATGTCATCTGACAACCTTCGTAACATCTGCATTCTGTCAGTTTCCGAGGTATCACTTTTATCCTTTCCTGGCAATTTGTACGCAAGCTTTGATTTAATTGCTGACAAAAGTTTATCAGCTTGAGAAAACTGCGGTGGAGTTGATGGATGTACATTTGATGGGTATCCTATTATTTTACTGCATATACCTTGTTCAATATCAGCGAATGTGTCTTTCTGTACATCTTTGTTATCATACTCTTCCGGTAACTGCGCTTTCATTGAAGATATGATTTTGTTTGCAGCAAAAAACTGTGAAGGTGACAAACTGCTATCGTTGCTTAGCTGAGAAGTGATAGTACAATTTGATTCATTAAAATTGGGACTGTTTAGTTCAGATCTTTGATTTTTCGTTGGAGTTTCAGCTTTATTTGTCTTTTCAACTTTCGGTTCACTTTTAGACACATTTCCCTTCTTTTCCTGCTCCAATTCCAAAGCTAATTGGATTCTCAGTTTCGTTAACCTGTTCTTTGCTAAATTCTTTGCTGGTTTTGATGATTGTGAACATTTATTTTTGTTCTTGTTTATGTTTAGGTGATTTTGCCTACCCCCATGAGAAATTGAGTTATGAGGTTTAGGTTTTTGCTTTTGGACATCTGAAAATTAAAATGGAATGAAAAATAAGGTATTAATATAAATAATATGAAATATTTGGGTTAATAAACATATATTACAATGAAATTCTGAATTTTTATTACCCATATTATCTATCAGCCTATTTTGTATTTGAAGACCAACTACCCACTACGAGTTAAAACATTGAATGCCGACGACTCGTATAGGGTGTTCATTTTAATATGTAGATCGTAATCCTAGTTGCATTGAAAATTCTAAAAAATAACTCATAACCATTCTGATCTAACTTACCGTTCTTTGACTTCTTACAACATTTGCGATCTTGTTCTTTTCTGTTCTTCTCTCCATTACGATTTGGCTCTACTTTGATGGCGACATTACTGCAAGATTCTTTTTCCTGTACAGCCTTCGAAAAAAACAGCAACAATTACTTTCAATTTAACATTAACCAATTTAAACGTAATTAACTACATTTAAAACTGAAGGATAGAAAATTATTTGGAAAATTTACCTTGGGCTTTATCCAAGAGGATTCGCGAGTCCTTGTGTTGAAATAATACTGTTTTCCTGGATTTGATCTAGATTTACAAAGTACCCAACAATCTGTGAATTTATCACTGATAATATTCATTATAAATGTTAGTGTACAATGTAAAAATAAAGCAATAAAAACATTTTATGCGAATGAAAATGTAGATGAATTAATTTCAAGAAAAAATATCTGACAAATAAAAAATATACACCACCTACGAGAACGAAAACTACAGTTCAGTTGTCAACGACAAAATACCTATCATTCCAATATCATTCGTTCATTTGTCATTGACTACTCTTTGCGCTGTTATCTTTAATTTAGACCGGCTATAAATCGTCGTATTTGTGCCTTTTTGTCGCCAACGGCTATTGACAGAGGTGTGAGTGTGAGGAATCGTATTAAAAAATACAGACGAATTGAGAACCTTTTGGGTAGGCTGTAAATTAAGATGGTATAAGCTGTCGCTAAAATCAATAGTTGCGTTTACTGTTTGAAATGGAACGGACCAAAAGCTGATTTTTTCAAGATACGACCTATCACATATCTTAGATAACAACTACCTACATATATATCGACTTATCTTAGACTTAGATAGTTTTACATTTTAGGTTGAGATAAAATTTCAAGAATTTTTTTCTATTTATTTAAATGAATATTGATAGTATCATTTGGAATAGCTATATTCAATTGATTTAACTATAATATACATATCTACAAATAAAACTGAAACACGATTTAAAGATTCTTTTTCATCTGAAAATCTAAGTTAGTATTTAAATTTCTTTCTTTCTTTTCTAGGTATATGAAGAGGTCTACGACTCATGTACGTTTTAAGACAAGTATTAAAAAGTCTACAAAGGACGATACCTCTCACTGAACACTTTAAAAAGGCCATTTCTTGGATATGCTGCGTACTTTTGTTTCCCTACGACTTAAACGTGCCCGTTGATGTTAGCGAGTTAGTTGTTCGAATTCCATTTCCACAGCTACCGCTTGATACCGACAGCGTAAAATGGCGAAATTAAATAGATACACGTCTTTTACTTTCTATTAATAGAGGGTAGTGATCTCCATACTTAATCTTTGGCCTTAGGTATAAACTGCAACGACAGATGAAACGAAAATTAATAACAGCTGTTTTTGACATAATTATAAAAAATAACCTAAACAAAACCTAAAAAAGGCATTAAATGTAAGACAAAAGACGGTTTGAAAGTTTTTTGTGATGGAGAGATTAATAAAATTCAGTAAAACAATTAGAAATAATTGGAAGAAATCAGTCGTAGGTGTTGTTGCTTTATATTATGGTGCCGCGAAAATCAAGGAGAAATATGAGTTAGTATAATTTTGTGAAATGAATTTGTCTTGTAAAGTATTATAATGTTAGTAAATTATTAATTTTGGTTAATGTTATATTTTAGAATAAATCTTCTGATGCGTGCCGCATGTCAAGAAGCCGTGAAATATGGCGATTCCATGATACCTATGGAGAGGAATCCAACCCTGGTTACGGTTATACTAAACCCCGTAGCAAATAAAAGAAAAGCGAAGAGAGATTTTGAGAAATACTGCGAACCGTTGCTTCATTTAGCTGGATTGCAAGTAAGTTGTGTAACATAAATTGATGAATGTAAAGTTTAGTAGTTTTCAGATGTATTGGTAGAACTCAACTTCACGCGAGTCAAGCAGAACACTATTTTAGATAAGCACTGTGCAGCGCGGCTATTACCTTGAGCGATCAAGATATTTGTTACGATCTTTGCTTGTACTATATAGCTATTATACATGCTTTTAATACTTGCTTTAAATATTTTTTCTATGTTTAGGTTGACGTAATACAGACAACATCAGAAGGTAATGCTAAGGAAATTGTTGAAACCCTTCGTGGAACAGAGGCCATCATTGTTGCTGGAGGGGATGGGACATTCTCGGAAACTGTTACAGGTCAGATATATTCCAATTTTTTAGTTAACAAATTATAATTTTGAGAACTTAATGGTTATGGACTGACTTACAACAATTATAAGATCACTCCTAAGTTTCTCTAGAAACATAATTTCAGAAGAATTTTTAATGCAAGGCAAGTCCTTGTTGATATTAAAAGTAATGTTTTATATTAAACATTTTGCAGGTTTATTGAGAAGAAATGATGGAGCAAATCAATTCCCACTTGGAATCCTACCATTAGGCCGCACTAACAATCTGGGTAACAGTTTATTTGAAGGTGGAAAAGGTGTAGATAGAGTTAAGCAATTAATAGAAGCATCTATGGCCATCATTAAAGGTGATACAGTTTGGAAAGATGCTATGAAAATTGAACCAATGGTGGAAGAAGAGGCACCAAGTAGACCAATTTATGCGATGACTTCTCTAGAGTGGGGTGCATTTAGAGATACTATAGCAAAAAGGGATAAATACTGGTTTTATGGCTCTCTTAGGGATTATGCTTCATATATTTTCAATGGCTATAAAGAATCTCTGAATTGGAATTGCAGTGGAGTGATTAAGTATACACCGCCTTGTGCAGGTTGTAGCAATTGTTTAGAGAAAAAACCCGAAATAAAGAGAAAATGGAGTTTCTTTATGCCGAGTGCACCGGAAACCGTCACAACCACGGTTGTTAACCCTGAATGTGCAACATTAAATGAATTATGCTTCAAGACGAGCAATCTAAGGATTCAACCGCAGAAAATTGGTGACTCTGATACTCCTTCACTTAGTATTGTGCTGGGAAAAAATAAATACAGTTATACGGAATTTGTTTCCGATGGTTGGCAACGAATTAAGGGTATAGATGAACATGTTAACAGCATTGCAGCTCGGACTGTGGAACTTTTGCCTAATGAATCTGGCCCAGAAGTAATAATTGATATAGACAGGGAAGAATTTGAAGTGAAGCCCGTTAAAATAACATTACTACCTCATATTGTTAAGATATTCTGTACTAATAAAATGGTTATGTAATAAAAAAATATTTGTAGATTTTCAACTTTAATGAGATATTAAATATTGGTTTATTTAAGTGGGTATAAATATTTATTTACATATGTTATAACATAATCTGTCTTGAATACTCCCAAACAAAGATGGCGGCCGTGACGTGTACATTCAAAGACCGAACCACGCCTTGTTGTGGAATCTCAACGCAGAAGTCCATTAGAGGTAAAAGATCGCACGGTACTCCTTCCTTTTCATGTCTGAAAGTAATTAAAAACACGACAAAATTAGAATAAAGGAATCATAAGATATAAGATATGTGTACAGTCAGGTGCACAAATATGTGTACATTTACAGTTTCAGAAACTTGTGTAAGTCTATGTATTTTTTTAACCAAAGATGTACACAAGTTTCTAGTTTTGTAAATGTGTTCACATTAATGTAGCTGAGTGTACCACAATTCTTCAATGGATGGATGGATGGATGTTTGCTAAAGTTTGTAACCTAAACTGTGTTGAACAGATCTTGACGAAATTTGACAGATGAATAGAATAGTCTGGAAGAGCATAGCCTACTTGTTTATTTTTTAATTCCATGGACGGATAGAAAGATATAAACATAGAGTAAATATTTTAACTTACCCAAGCAACAGTAATGTCTTCTTCGGGAACTTGAATGTTTGCAGTTGACAACTTGTTGAAGTTTGTTCAGCACCAACTACACAATATCCCTCAGACTTTTTCTCTATGAGGTACTGCTTCAGACCACAAGGTCTCACTTCCTCAACATCAATCCAACGTTCCGCTGATACACTAAATATTAACAAAAAAAAAACATAAATATTTGATACAAAAAACAAAGATTTATAATAGAAATATTTATTATCCATATTAAACTAGGTAAATATTTTAGTGACTGATCTATTATAGCTTTAGTTCGAGCTATAGTTGGAGCTAAACATAAGGAAACTAATATTTTTTCGACTTGAAGTTGCCTAAGTTTTTACAGTGGCAGAGCCCGCTTTATCATCTTAGCACTGCAGGGCCGGCTCGCCCGGTGTAATACCACGACCACACAGAAGACAGGCGTGAAATGCGAGAAATCCCGCGTCTCGTCTGATGAGTGTGGTGCCGGAAGCCCAATTGTGGTCCCTTTTCCTTCTCAGGGTTTTTATGATAAAGATTAGGAAGGGAAAGTGGATTTGACGGCGGAGGAGACGCATAGGAAGAGGAAACATTCTCTTTATGTGCGTCTCCTCCGTCGATTAAGGGTAGGCAACGCATCTGCAATTGCGGATGTCTATGAGCAGTGGTCGCTTCGCCATTTTGGCGGATTCAAGTGGTCACTTGAATATAAAAAAAAGTCTTGTAATATAAAAAAAAGTTGTTTTCTTAAGGTAATTTTGTGCATACCTTAATCCTTGAAACTGCTTATCCTGGATATGACGGAGGCTATCGATAACATATGTTCTAATGCCGAACACTTCACTAGTGCGAGCCAATCCTCCAAGATTCGGTAGTTTATCGATCAATGAGGCAACCACTATGAGTTCACCTTTTTTGCCTTTCTGATAAAGAAATAGAT